TAATTGAACCAGCATTTTTACAATCATTGTCCTATTTATTCCTTGATAGTCTTCCCTGGACCAAAGTAGCCTTCATCTGTCCTTTCAATTTGTTTGAATTTTAGGTTTTACAAACATTTCCAATCCCTTAAGATTATATAAACTTTCTCTCTCAACAAAATTTGATTGGATGTTCAAAGGTAATTATGAGCCTTATAAATAACAGAAAAATATTATAATCAACCAACTCATAAAACTTTAACAATTTGAACTGATAAAATAATATATTTGATGGATGACTGTAATGTTTTCTGGTGATAATTATTACGGCTCTTTTCTGCAAAATAAAAATAAGATTTGTAATTTTTTACCCCAGACTTCAATACAGTGTGGAACAAATATTGCATTGTATAATATAAACAGTGCTTTATCATTAAATAACTCCTTTACTTTGTACAATACTGCAGTGGATTTGGCTATTTTTGTTCTTAAATAATTTATGTGAGATTTCCATGTAAGTTTTTCATCAATGACACTTCATCTCACTGACTCTACAGATCTCAACACCATCCACTCTAAATGAAATATTGATAGTTTTCTTTTTATTACTGAATATCAAATAATTAGTTTTGTCCAAATTTAATGATAATTTATTAAGTTGAAACCAGGTTAAATTCTGTTTGTATCCTTTCCATCAGACATCCTGTGTCTTTACCAAAACACAGAGAAATGATCATGCAGCTGTGACCTTTGTATGTGGAAGTTATTTAACGTTAATGTTTTATGGTAAATCTGTTCCTGAGGCTTGGCCACGCCCACATGCTTTGTCGCAGCTAAAAATCTTTTGATCTCCTTTGATCTCCAATGCCTTAAAACAGTGCTGAGTGATTGTGAAGTCTGTACGCTAAAGCTGTACTCAGATACCTATACAAAAAAACAGACAACATGGCAGCTTTGTTTTGAGACTTCCTGTTGCGTTTGGACCTTGGTTCCAAGAGACTTTTTTGTAGGTCCTGATACATTACTCATGTGTACCAAGTTTCATAACTGTCAGTCAAAGCATGGCTCGGGGCTGATTTTTTAAAATACAGTAAGTGGATTAATGAAGTAATTAGATCATGCCCACCACAGCTTATAGTGCATTCCTGTTGGGGGGTGGATTAGGATCAATCACAGGTGATTTGATACAAACGTATTGCAACGCTGAGATGTATGACTTCAACACGCCACCACGACCACGCCGTCCAGCAAAAAGTCTTGGTGTTTGAAGCCAAGTCAGACCAACACACAATTTCACAACTGTGTTTATTGACACAATTTTATATTGATTGGGTCAAACTGGTCAGAGATGGAGCTTTTGAAGCTAAAACAGGACACTTCCTGTCCTCAGGGGGCAGGGCTATCATGATGTCAGCATATGACTACATAGTACCATCAGGCATGCAACATGAATGACTCTTACTGAGTTTGGTGTAATTTAGCCTTTTTACATGAAAGTTACAGTGTTTCGAAAAATGTTGGCAAGAAGGCTAACTTCAAGGCCTGGCCACGCCCCCTAAACATGCTCTAAAACTCACTGTTTTTACAACTTTTAATCAGTCTTAACAGTATACTGACCAAGTTTGAAGCAGATACAGCGGGTAAAATAAGTATTGAACACGTCACCATTTTTCTCAGTAAATATATTACTAGAGGTGCTAATGACATGAAATTTTCACC